TTCCGTAAGAGGAAGCCATGCATATCAGTCCACTGCGGAGCCTTCAGGTGAGAATGAGTCTGAGAGGAGGAAGAGGGAGAAGGTAAGGAGAGAGAACAAGATGCCATGGATGGATGAGTACTGGGGAGTCCTTCAGCCAGAACCAATATACTCAAGGACTCAAAGGTGGTACGTCATTGATGACTTCAAGGAGGGTGAGGAAATTTGCTGCGATTACTGTCTGGTCTGCCATCCCATAGACTCCGATTTGAAAGACGATTGCTATGCAGAATGCATCAACGGAGCAGCAAATAGATGCCGTGGGATGTCCGCAGAAGACTACGTCCAGAAGCGATTCCATGCATGTGCGCGATTGCTTCACAACTTCGGCATGGGGCAAACGGTATCTTCTCCCACCGTCGTGATCTCCGAGATGAACCCGCACGATGACTTGATGAAGTTCTTACACGAGGCGATGATCATCTTTAATGAGAATCCAGGATTCCAGAAGGAGATTTCGTTCTTCGGGGGGATCAGGTTATCATCAACAATGACGGAGAACTTCTTCAAAACGAGGAGAGGACCCAGCATCCATGTGGAAAAGCAGATAGTCGGCAGCGCCAAGTACTACCAGGGATCCTATGACCTTGGCAACGTATGCTACACCAAATACCTCAAGACCATACTGGAGCCCGATGTATTCCGCACTATATTCGGAGATGATCCCACGGAGGAACGGGTAGGTGACATGGTGGAAGCGCTGCTGGGCATGTTTGAAATTGCTCAACTCTTCAGGCACATGTTCAGGGGATGGGGTGACATCGAAGCTTTGAGGACGGGATTAGAAGAATCCATCAAACGCGTCACTGCATCGCTGTACGACAGGACAACGTATGAGAACCGAAAGCGATCGACGATCAGAACCTTGGACCCGCACTCTGATGAGGCGGCAAACGTGGCTCTGATTCTCGTGCGCATGAGGACCATGCCGCCTCCATCGACCACTTCTTCGAGATTGGGAAAGAACCAGAACAGGGAACGGAAGCCACTGACCAGCCCGAGGCCGAAGGTGTCGATATGGAGACTGAATGTGGACAGGGGAAAGAGGAGCAAGATGTTGACATGTCCGACCCGAAGACATCAATACTGCAAGCCATCGACGAATTTGAGAAGAAGATCGGGCAAGCAGAATTCTGCATCCACTGCATGGAGTCGGGACACACAACTCTCAATTGCAAGAAGACCCCTTCATCTTCACCTACAGTCACCTCAGTGTTGAGTGATTGGAAGAAGAGAGTGAAGGGAGAGGTTGCACCCGACGATATACCATCTGGACATCCAACCGAGGAGCCTAAGAAGAAGAAGCAGAGAGCATCGCCCACTCCAGATAGGAAGGTCGACAGCGAGTTCAGGCGAAAAGAAATGTTAAAAGCAAGAGTCGTGACAATGTTCGATCATGACGGATTCACCTTGATCGAAAGTGCTGATGGAGTCGAAGGAGGGCCACATTCCTACAATGGGCGGAAGCTTGCGGAAGCAGGCCCTAGGGATATGAAGGTAGTGTACGAATTTGTAGAGAAGGCATTTGTGCACTCCAGTTCCCTCACACCAAAGGCATGTCATCACTTCTATCCCCTACCAACACGGAGGGAGAAGGGATACAAGCCGATCGAACCCATGACGATGGTCGGGAAAGTTGAACTAGTACCGATCAACGGAGTCACTTTCGCTGCAAAGAACTCCGACTACGGCAACCACAAGTATCCGACTCCAGACTGTCGAGTACCTGAATCAGCCAAGCGAGCCAGGCCCTGAGTCGTCGATTGGGAGCGAAGTTGAGACATCGAATTGGACGCCAGTTCAGAACAGGAGGAAGACTCGCACCAATCAAATGCGATGAAGGCGCATGGGTGTCATGGGAAGACCTGTTAGGTGATAATGCAGTTTGGGAAGACGGTTATCACTATGGCAACATAGATATCGTGACCAAGAAGGCGCGTTTGGAGAAGTACTTCGACCAGAACTATGAGTGTTTCCGCATAACCAAGAGGGTCAGATTCCAAATGTTGGCAGTCCGCGTTCTCCCTGATGAACTCAATGAGCCTGATGACCCGATGGAGAAGGAATGGATTGACGAACTCAAGGACATGGGAATCTCTAAAGGAAGACTCCACCATAGCGATGGATGGTGCTTTCCCGTGGCCGTAAGAGCAACCTCGGCACACTCAACGGACGGCGGAGGTTATGACGTTACCATTAACATCGACCACATTGGATCGAGAATGACCAACGACATGGCCCTATCTATGGTGACTGCATTTCACGCTACCAATCTCGGAGCGCTGACTTCAATCATGCGACGAGGGCTAGTGCCAGGAGGTCTCGGTTCATCGGGAAGGGATTCTATCCACTTCACATGTTTTCCGCCATGGGCCTGGGAGCAGGGCTACAAGGGAAAACCTTGGCTGGGTCGTAAGGTCGCATTGAGTGATCGCCCGGTGGTTCTCTACATTCCGGTGTGGAAGCTGCAGGAGTACGGACTTCTCATCTCAGCGACTGGCTCTCTATTGGTTGAGAACGTCGTTCCCTTCGATGAGGTTAAAGGGGCATGGTTGCAATGCGACAACGCGGAACCCGGACAGCCTGAGGAGATCGAATGGATCCGGTTACTCAATGGGGAACCCGACCCTGGAAGCTACCTTGTTCTGGAGTCCAAATACGGAAACCCGATCATGATTCCACGCTTTCAAAAGCTTGAGAGTTTAGCGGTTGAGGTTCAGGACGATACCTACTCCGAGGACGACGCCAAAATCTCAAAGCTGTTGGGTATGATCGAGGAGAGTGGTGTCTACCCAGAATATGATAGCACCGAGTGGCAGGAAATCTTTGAGGAGATCGTGTACCGCCGAGCAATGAAAGACTATGACTCAAGACCGTGTCCCAACTGTCTTGGCGAAGTCGATGTGCGATTGACGATATGTCCGCACTGCGTAGCGGTTTTGATCGCGAATGGGAAGCTCACGCATGTGGTACCCAAGGAGACAAGGGACCGCAATCAACGGTCACCTCCGAAAGATGTCCCAGCCAGTTCTTCCGGTGAAGCAACTTCTGCTGCGGGTGCAAACATCGATGAAGTCATCAAGAACGCACGCAAGACAGCCGAAGAGGTCATTGAGATCGAGGAATCCGAAGGAGAGGAAGAGGAGGAAGTTCCTATCATTTTGAAGGAACGACTGGACGAAGCTGAAGGCGAACCCGAATATCGGGAGGTCCCTCAAGATGGATACGGGAATGAACTTCCGCAGCCTTTCCCCTTCGCAATTGACGAATTGCCGCAAGAAGCTGCGATCCCCATCGACCACAACTTTGCCGTCACACAGCAATTTGATCTGAGGTTGATGAAGTTGATCAAGAGCTTGGCCAACGCAACGTTCGACATCAACTGCTTTGAAAGTCGTGAAGATGTACTGCGAATGTTCGACGATGGACAGCGGCATGATACTCCGCACAATAGATGGCCGATAGTACCGAATGATCCGGATACTGGGTTTCCAAGACGTCTCCAGAGAGCCGAGGTCGTGGGCATGAGCAGATGGACCGACGACGTGTATGCAGCAGAAGCGTGGCAGATCTATGAATTCCACGCCCACGTTGTTCACCCGATGATGATCACTGCAATCCGCTGCGGGCTTAGCCACAAGTACCTCAAAGAGGTCGGCAGCACTCGGCGTAACATGAGTGATCCAAAGGCTCGAAAGTCTGAGACCCAGGATGAGATCATCGAGAAACTGGCATTCATCTCAAATTTCATCAGACGCTTGATCAGGAAGACCTTCGGAGCGAGCCGGTATAGTTACTACCAGAAACCAGATGACGAAAGTGCCGCTCCATACAAATTCATCGACATTAGCCCCGCCATCAAATCGGAGAGGAAGAATGTCACGAAGGAGATCCTCGTTGCATGCCGCTATTATGGCATAGAGGTATCCGCTATTCAAGCACAGAAATTGAAGTCCTTCGAGGAGCAGATCCGAGCGGGAAACCCAAGGAACGTTGAGCTCATCAAGGACTACATTGGTTTTGTCGGCGCTGACTACATGCGACAACTCACGAATGGTTGAGCATTGGGGTCATACCGACATGCCACTTCCGGTACTTCAAATACTGAGGGATCTTGGGTAATTCATGATGACCGTTTTGGCATCATGGGAGTGAGAGAGGATTGTGTTTCACACCGCTGGTAATCGCATGATACCATAGGCAGGTGCACGTTTTCCGCTTGTAGCTCCATTACCTGTTTGATCCAACTTTCAAGCGAATGCAAGATCTTTTGCTAATTCAATTCAATAGGACATACTGGTTGACCTCCAATACACTTTTGAGAACACGATTCGTTCTCCGGTTTTTACATCCACTCATCTCCCTTCCCCGTCGAAGTACGGATGTGGGGGGTGTCAATAGGGATGAGGTCCCAGTATAGTCGCTATACAGGTACATGCCATATACTTTTGGCTCAAGTGCCCAGCCAGGTAAAAAGGAGCTTTAGCGCGCGAGCTTCATGTTGAACTAAGGGCTAGAACGGGGCCAGGGCACACCTTTCCATCCGTTCGCAAAAGACGAACCACTGCAATTTGAATTTTTTTGGGGGAGGTGATCCTTGAGGGAAAGCCAGGAACACATTAATATATGTGTGGTTAAACTCCGAATCTCCCAAACTCGACTGGAGTTTCTAGATGTTTCTAGAGGGTCCTTTTGGCCGTCCTTTTTGACCTTCTTCAACGACTTGTGGACCAGGTGCCTCATCATGCCTCATAGATGTCCGATTTCATGTCTGGGATCTGCTGGGATGGCCACTTCATTTCGCCCTTTTCGCACCTTTTTTCTCCGCATCATGCCAACCTTTCTACAGCATGGGGCAGCGAAATCCACTTTTGCCAGGCTATCCACTCACACTCCCCAGGTCCTCACGGCCAATCCTATTCCCCACCTTCCCCACCTTCCCCCCCTGCTGGCGCCCGGACCCATGCCCGTGCTGGGCGGATTGGGGTCGCAGCGCGCGGCCAACAGGGCCTGACCGTCCCGAGACGAGCCGGGCGAGGTTGGGACTGTGCCGATCGACATGATCCAACTTGCAATGCACGGACGACCTGTCTAGTCCCCCAAAAACTGGGAGTCGGGTGGAATTCACCAGTTATATATATATATATGGATTGATATGGGTTATTATATATTTTATATGTTGGGCCTACTCTATTACCAGTAGCAGTGGACCTTTTCCGCTTTAGTAGGCCCGTGGTGATTGTTTACTGACCGTTACAGGTATTTAATGGGACAATCCCAAGCAATGGTTACATGGCTTTTCTTTAGGAAGCTGAAGAACGCGTTGCCCAGCCTTCTCCCCACTCCCGTCCCATCCAATCGCCGCTGCGCCTGCACGGTCTGCGGGTTGGCCAACGAGGCGGCACCCGTCAACGGGGTGAGGCCATTGCTGCATGGAGAGTGAAGGTCAGCGCGGAAGCGCAACAGCACCTCTGGAGCCACACCCAGGCCGTTAGGCCGTTAGGGGGGGAGGATGATGGAGGATGGGTGGCTGCGAGGGTTGAAACCATGCTTCACTGGTCATCCACCATCTTCCCACCAAAGCAATATACCTAGCATGATCCAGCTACCCCCCTCTAATTGCTCCTAGCTGCATTCACAAGTGCAGGCTATTGAGAACATCCTGGCACTCCAAAGCAGTGCAAATTACCCCTGACTCCACGCTTTTTGCACGGATTTCAAACTCCACTTACAAGGGTTGATCTATCATGATCAAATCGTCGTGACCTATGTGACCTTAAAGCTCCTCAACGCCACGAGCTCCCTCAGCCGCCCTCCCCTGGTGGTCCATATGCAGCCTCCACTTGCTCCGGCGTTCGCACCAAATACGGCGCATTGATCCCAGCTCCCGAGAGGAGTTGTGCGTCGGCCGAGCACTCCAGAAGCCTCTTGCGAGCTTGGCGCTTACGCATACGCCAAGCGGCATCGAACATGGATTGACACTCTGGGTTGATACTCTGACTCACCAACATGGAAGTGAAACACCCCCAGTTTGTAGAGCAAACACCAGTCTTCCCACGCCATTGTCCATCCCTTTCGGTTTCAGGGAGGGTCTGTCGAGGCTCCAGTACCACGCGGAGACTCTTCCGACGGAGGCCGATCTCGGTCTGGACTTCTCGGGCGGCCTTTTCGGGCCTCGGAGGTCCTCACGGCCGTACCGTGAGTCCTACGGCCAGTTGCAAGTTTGGAGGGGGTTGAAGAAGAATTGCATGGGGTGATTCTTAGGTTTACATATCTCATCTGCGGACTTCAAAGGGGTGTCCAGTCGATCCATAAGCAGTGTGGGGGGCTGCCATTGGACACCCCTGGGAAGTTGCTGGTACGTTCAATTGTCACCCACCCACAATGGGAGGTCACATTCTCCACAGGATGTTGAACATCTCAGGCGTAACCCTGGCGAATTGCATATGACCTCCAATGACATGTAGTCTACACAAGGTCAGGGTTCCAGGGCAAACCTTCTAACCCTTCCTAAACCCTTCCAGGGTTCTCATTTCTAGGTTTTCAAGGCCTGGGATGGCGGTGCAGTGACATTGCGCAATATAACAGGGTTTGAGTTGCTCCCCAAACCTCCATAAGTCACAATTAGTCTCACCATGCCGATCACAATTAGTCTCACCATCAGCAAGTCATTTAAACCATACCCGACCCGCCCGAGCCAAGCTGAAACCTCTTGCGGCACCCTCTCATCATCTCTCGCTGGGCCACGTGGATAAAATCTCTGGCCGCTGGTAGGACTTGGCCGCGACCATGAGGGGCGTCTGCCCTGCCGCCAGCGAGTTGTCCGGCTGATCTGTGATTGGGTGGGTGGAGGAAGGATCAAAACAGAATCACCTAGGAGTTGGCGATATGTTTTTTGTTTTAACCAACAACTGTGCATGTGGATGATGATGGTTAGTTAAAGACTTTTCTCAAAATAGATCAGACTGTTGGCTATGACAATTAAACCTTTTGCAATCTTTTGCCGACTGTGGCTGGCAACGGGACACACCCTATGTAGGATGCAATCCTCATGTCATAGCGTGCGTAGAAAAAACACATGAGGATTTGACAACATCTATCATAACATCCTATACAGCAACCATTGGTTTTGTCCATCACTCACATGTAATGCCTCTCCTTTATAAACATCGATGAACTTACATCCAGCACCACACAAAGGGTGGTGTATAGACCCCCCTGAAGATGTATTTTCCATCTAATAACGACCCTTTGGGTGGTGCTGGATGAGTCAAATCATGTTGGGATCCGTTCATCTTCTTTGAACCTGGGCCCTGTGAGGATCCCGGGTCCCTGTTCTGACGAGGGATCTGCTCAAACATCTGGGTGTGTGGCTCAACACAGTGGAAATCCTCACGAAGTTCATCGTTTGATTGACTGTCTTTTGAATGTAATGTAACTCTTGCCTTTCTCCAATCTAGACCCGAAGGTGGTCATAAGTCATGATCCATCAATTTGAGCACAATCCAACATGCTGATAGCTAGCTCATGAAGCAAACTGGAAAACAAACATGCGTTGCAAAAGCACCTAAGATGACGGCTGGGATTCACGTTCACATTTTTGGGGGGACCCTGGCCTGGTCAAATGACAAGGTTCGTTATTGATCGAACATATCCAGAAACAAAGGAATCAAAGAAAGCACTACTTCAACATGGTGAGAAGCACTGCATGAACGCTTCAGGTGTCTTCCAACATGTCTTCATGTGGTGGGGGGGCTCTTGGACTCTTAGAAGTGGATCTTGCCTGACCTCTGTGGCCAGCCGCTCTTGCTGCATTCTGCTGCATTCTGCCCTAAAGAATCCTTGGACCTGACACCTTAGACGATTCCAAGTGTGAAGGGCGCCCTGAAGATTCAGTGCCAAACCCGCCCCAAGAGCAACAACTCCACACCGCCCAGAAACCTTCGAAGTAGCCCAGGTCATAAAGCCCATGCAGCCGGGCATTCACGTCCGCGCGATGCCTCAAATGACGGGACTCGTCGTCTGGTGGTTCTCGAACTCCAGCGGTCTATGCAACACTGGATGTTGATGGTTAATTAGTTGGTTCGTTAACGTTTGTTAAAGGCAATTAAGACAATGATGGTTAAGTTATGTTAAGTTAGATCTCCAGTTCTCCACTTAAAACATCTTAAAACAATCCGCATCAGCAGTTCATCGCCTCGCCCATGCACCCATGCACCCTTGTCGCTGAACGCCGAACGCTCCCCTTTTCGCGAGCGATGCGGCCGAAGCCAAGGAGCTCTGCCAGCAGCTGGATGATGGCGGCATCCCCGGCAAAGACCGCACAGAGCAAGGGCGTCATCCCCTCTCGTACGGACAGCGCGTCCTGAATAGGAGAAACATACGGCTTCGGCGTGGCGGCTGAAAGCGGCGTGGAAGGTTCGAAGTTCTGGGATGTTCCATGTTCATGTAGTGACTCCAAGATAGAAAGCACAAAAAACAGCAGCACAGCGGCCAAGGCCACTTGGCTCAATGGTCCACACTCCACAGGTTAATGGGTCTGGAATCTTGGCCGACCAGGGGCCTCGGCACCTGAAATCAACCACCCCAGCGGTCGGCCATGTCTGGGGGGTGCAACCAGCCTATCGCTTCTCGTGATCACTCATGATCGGTCAACGCCCAGGTCGGCGCCGGGTTGGGCTAGGGAGAGACCCCACTTTGACCCCCGGGGGACGTTACATTGACATGTGAGTTCACCAAAACAATGCCTAGGGCCTCTAACGATCGTTTCCTTTCTTTGGAATCGTGCCGTCGGCATGTAGGCCGAGCACACCTCAAACAGCCATCGTAGCAAAGCCCAGTTCATCACTGCCCCAGTAGGTCGCTTCATCACTGCCCCGGCAGGTCGCCTTGAGGCTGTGAAAGCGGAAGTGCGACAGGAAACCATTGAGCTCCTCGGCTCGGCGCGTTGAGCTGGGCATGTCAGGTAAGCGGATACTTGCCCGACGATGCTGAAAAAGGATAGATGGGTTTATATTGGTTTAAAACGTCATCACCTGTCCACTCTACTAGTGGTGCATTGATATGCATTGATGGGATAATTATGGGATATATAGTGGGTCTATGGATCCAACTGTAGGTTAGAGATGGAAAGAACTCACATGGCCGTGTCTTGCATGACAACCATGTCTTGCACCTGGCCGTGTTACATGACCGATCCAGAATTCTTATTACACCACATGCGTCAAGGGAGTAGATCAAATACAGTAAATGTCCGGCTTATTATGATCCCAATGTTCCGTCATCATCGACTCCAAGTCGATCCAAGCTTCAAATTGGATTCTCTCCTGCGAAGTCGCAACGGCCGTTCGTCACGGTTCCGACTAGCGTGACCAGCCCATGCGCATCTAATCGTCCACGGTATGGTAAACAGTCAATGTAAGCCCGTGCTTGTCTGGTGGTCTTTCCAGCCAACAGGATATGAAAAGAGGAACACATCGCTTTGACAACCCATGCCCAACAGCTGTCCCAGCGCTGCTTCTTCGAATCCTGCGGTTGTAGAGAGAGAGAGAGATCTTCGCTCCCTGGAATCATCATGGAAGTGGCTGGCACCGCCGTTTGCGATGGTTTGCGGGTCATCCCAGGCATCCGATGGCCCGTTCTGCACTTGCAGCATGATGGTTCCAGTGAGTGTAAATCAGCCAAGGAATCACTCTAGTCCCTACAGTGTGGCATGATGTGGCATCGCTCTTTGGAAGATCTGGGGGAACCACCCTCCCCAGCCCTAGGGCTCCAAGTACCTCCTCAGAAGGTATTTGGACCTACCAAACCCAACCCAAACACCTTCTCAGAAGGTTGGAGCCCTAGGGAAGCGGTGATGCACTCCCCCCCAAAAACACGACCAGTCAGTCTTGACCAACCAGCTGGTGTGGTTGACACGGGGCCAATGTAAGCATATATAGATATACTTCGAGATACTTCGAGTGTCTGGGTGAATAGGTGTTCTCTGGCAACTCTTCCAGAACAAACTTTTTGGGCCAGAACGGTGATCATTCCAAGCCAACTAGCCAAAGAATGTCCACCTTGGTCACTGTTTGCGTATTTCTTGCTTGGAAGGTTTCACTGAACATCCTTCAAAGAACTTGGGCTGGTCTACTTGTCAACCCCTCCCCAACTCCGACTCCAACCTGCAACCATCTAAAATCCCCCAAGGCCATAAATTCCCAGTCACAGGACACGCAGCAAGCAAACCGATGTTTTATTCTTGCTTCGAGCGTATACAGTTGGAAGGTATTACATGTGTGATACGGTATGACGGTATGACCCAAATTGCAAACTTATCCAAATCTTGCGTCTGCACCACACCCGCAAGCAAAGCTCTGGCTGTCCCTTCATCTTCATAGTTCACCGATCTGCAGTGAGCACATTCGAACATATCTGAACCATGGTGCCCCACACACTTCTAATCGCCGCTTAAAAAACCGTGGCTGCATCGCATCGGTCGTGTCCTGTCCCAAGAGCTTGGGCCGATGTGCCAAGTAAAAGCGGCAATGCGACAAAGGCCCTTCCCGTGACCTCGGTCGAAGTCGAAGAATGCGCTGAAAGCAACGGAGAGGGGTGAGGCGGAGGAGAAGTACGGTGAGGTGGGGCAAGAACGGTACGCCGTTGTACTTTCTGGCTAGAGGAAACAGGGAAAAACAGCAAATTTCATGTTGAGAGCAGTTTTTGGCTGGCCTTCAGTTCATATAGTTCATTACTTTTGGAGTGGTAAAAGGCCAAGCAATGGTCTGACATCGTTCGCTTTCGGTCCGACCCCGTTTCAGGAAGGCAACCAGTGGCCACCGGTGTCCGTCTGTCGACTTCTTAGACCGACCCATGCAAAGCCCTGCTCCACCAGCTGCACCATAGGTCCGTCCGTCGAGCCACAGATGTTCGATCTTGCTCTCCACGGCGACCTCACCCAGCTTCACCACGACAGCTCGGTCCTTCTCCACGGTAAAGTCGCCCTCCGCGATGGTGTTCTGCTGCCAGTTGAGCGCTGACCTGGGATTTTTGTGGCCCGAGCAACAGGTCACGCCCGGCCTGGACCGAAGGCCGGCGAACCAAACAAAAACCATATATGGTTATACAGTAAACAACAGCTATGGGCTATATGTATATACGCCATAGTTATATATACAACTATGGTTGTATATATACATGTATATACTAAGAATTGACGCTGCAAAGCCATATAAAGCATTGAAGCCTTGGGAGAGATGAGAAGGGACACCTATCCCAAACGCCCAGCGTGGGACGTCTTAAGATCCACTCGAACAGTCGATACCGATAACCTTGATGATCAACATTCACATCCTCCCATCATGAGTCTGTACTGCACAACTTCCAGGAATATGAGAAAACCTTGGTCGTTGATCGTCATTGGGTTAATTCATTGCTCTATAGTCACTAGTCTGTACTGTCTGTCCTCTTCATCATGGCACAACCTGTGAAGATTCCCGTGTACCTCAAGCCTTCTCCACCTGACAGCTCTGTGCAGAAACCCAGCGGCATGTATTCCGCCTCCAGCGTTGAGAAAATCAAGATCACCCGCGTGTCAGGCCTTGGCCACATCGCCAAGATGGCTCAAACCGGCCAAGGGCACCCATCGCTGGCATAAATCATTCCCAGTGGATCCCAGGCAAACCACTATATAAGGAACCAGGGATTCTGGGTCTATGGTTTTAGATGGTTGTATTCTTTGGAACCGCTGGTTAACAGCTATAGTGGTAACTGGATGCCCTGGGATTATTCCAAGACCCGTCCTATGTTAGGGGGCTTCTGTTTTAGGCGCTCCAGAACTCAGTGTTCGTCAGCCTTCAATGCAATGTGACGCGGTCACTATAGTAACTGACACCGGGACCAATTCACTTGCGAGGACCAATTGCTCCAATGCTGGTAGGTACCTAACTTTGGCATATCTGCAACACTTGTCCATTCCTTAACACGTCACATGGACGCGTCACATATGACTGCCAAGCTGCTTGTTGGAAAGCAAGTGGCACCACAATTCGGCCCGGCACCAGCCACGGGAGAGCCAGGAGATGTAGTTGCAAGACTTCTTGGTATCAGAATGCATCATTTCCTCAAAGCCAAGCAAGTGACTTATTGCTTGTTTGCGGAGGTTGTGCATAGACTAGCAACGTCCTTGAAATTGGGAGCTCAAAACCACAGTGGGCATGCCGTTGAGGTGAAACCCTCTCTCATCACCCCATTGCACCTAGTGTCTGGCACCAGAGCGATGAACGCATCGCAAACCTCCACCTGGGCTGGTGGGTCACTGGACAAACAACCTTCACTCGCACAACATCTGGGCCATGATATACTATATAGAACTTTATTGAACTAATGGTGTTGCAATAATATAGTAATGTGATGCACATTGTGTTGTATACAACGTTAACATGTATATTGTTATGTTATAAATAATCTGGGTAGTCAATGGGTGACAGAAAATCGAGCATAATGCCAACTGTTGATTAATGAACCTAGTGATTTGCGCTTGACAAAACACGTTCTTTCATTTGGAACTGCATCCATCAACTCCAAACGTCTAAACTCTCTGTACCTCCTTGGCTCCCTGTGTAATAAGGGAATCTGAATACCCCGATCCCCCCCCAGCTCCTCTCCCTACCACCACCTACTCCACCATCAACCCCCACAGCCACCCCTCATCCATCGTCTCAAGCTAGCATGAAGTTGGGAAACTCCCTCCAGCTGTTCCAAAAAGGGGAGAGCTGGATCCCTCCGGGCAGCGCTCCGGGCAGCGCTACCGTTCCTGTCCCAAGCCACGTAGGCAGGGATGCTCTGCACCGCCTTGGCAGCATCCGTCTCCGCAGTGGACGGTGCAGCTCCGGCTGCTCCGGCCTCGTTGAGGCCCTCCTGCCGCGCGGTGATCTGTGGAATCGCCTGGGCCGGTGCAGCACGAGTAGCGGGACTCCCAGCCACATCGATTTGGAGCCGTATATCGGTACAAACGATCTGCCTCCTGGTGACACCCAGGGTGTGCCGGAGAAAAAAGAACGGCAAAGCTCTTACGTAGGAGTTCGAAGAACCAACAGGAATTAAATCGAACTTAACCATCTCCTATAGCTAATTATAGCGGTGGTGACCGTTCTGTGGCGATCCTAGCCCTGGCTGGATCCGATGAAATGGACATGTTCTCTGGCTGAATTCATGCGCAAAAGGATTCTACGGTTCAACTGGGCGGTGACCATCTCAAAGGTGTGCATTCCCTGGAGAAATCTATATAAAGGGAAGTAACCATGCCTGGCCGCCTGGCCATCATCATAATAACTTGAGGCCAGGGGGAGAGGTCGAAAGCTAGCCGAATCGCACCGGATGTACTAGTTACATAGTCGGCAAAGCATGTAGGGATGACATGTTTTGGGAGGAATCAGGAAGGTTGCTATGTACATACTTTGCGCTAAAGAATGTAAATGTGACATCGCTGACTGGGAAGGGTACATTGGAACAACCCGGGCGCACTCGTTGGCAGGCACGAAGATGCGTGATCGGCAAATCTGGGGGGTAAATTTACCCTCCGCTTTTGTATGCCTTGAGTCGGAAAGAGGGGTAAGCATTTCTGACATCATACGGACTGTACATACACTAGGGCGTCCGTAGTGTAGGAGAAGCACGGGTAAAAGGTATATGGAATAGAGTGTCTTGAGGAAATAGCCGGTGTATGGTTATTGCAAATCTGGGGGGTAAATTTACCCCCCGCTTATGTATGCCTTGCGCTGGAAAGAGGGGTAAGCATTTCTGGCATCACAAGGACTGTGCATACACTAGGGCGTCCGTAGTGTAGGATA